GGGAGGCCAACCGCCGTAAAACTTCAATGAAGAAGAAGAAAAAGACAATCGCAACTTCCGTTTCATGCCGACTTTAATACTGTTATAAGATTAGACATGGGCTGTGTTCGAAATGGCATACTTGCTTACTGCTTACTGCCCAGTACACAGTGCATACTGCCTACTATTTTTTAAAGAATAGTGTGTGAAACAGTATACAATAAGCAATAAATGTTTCAGAGTAGTATGCTTAAGTGCTGTCACATGACAAACACTGAACATTAATTCAGCACAGCTGTCAAGGTTGTTACCTTAGAAACAAACGAGCTAACTGTTCTTTTTACAAAGGCTTGTTAATAAGGCTTCATACTAAACAATGCTATATTGCCTAATTGAACTCATGTCATAATTGATTAACTTTACATATTGGACAGAACTAAATCAACACTGAGCTGTCTTTATTGATATTTTTGGTAGTTACACTAAGTGGCGATATATTAAAAAGCGATATATTCTAGTTACACTAAGTGCAAATAATGATTTGAGTGTAAATTATCATATATATATAAATTGTATTAGATGAATGGCACTTTATTGGGACAAAAACCTACCTAAAACATACACAACACTGTATTATTGAGGCGTTTTATTTCCACTTTTCAAATATTTACTTAATTTTTATTGAAAATAAATTTCTTTCTGATCTGGTATGTGATGGGAAAAGGAGAAGCATGAGTTTGACAAAAGCCAGGGTCGAACTCGGGTCGACTGCGTCAAAAGCAAACAGCTCACGTTTTACTTGCTGCGCCACTGATACTTCGGAAATGCATGGGTCTTTTGCAGTGCTGTTAATCACAGCCAGGCATTGGTGAGCGGAGTTAATGTAAATAGCCTCTGCCAACAATTTGGTCTATTTGTCCTTAGAGTAATACACTCCATTTCTTTTTAGAGCTGCTTGACAGTGGAATTGAATTCTGTTTGCATAATTGAAATATTTTTATTTATACATTTTATTTATATATTATATTGCTGCAATATTATTATTATTTAATATCTTTGAAAGAATCTGTACTGTATAAAGCGCTATAAAGATAAAGGTTACGTCATTTGATGATCGGAAACGTGCTGTAGAGATCAAAGTACAATTTATGTCCTACTAACGATACTGTTTTTAGATACACAGCAATAGTTTGTAGTTTACATGTATATGTATATACGCACAAATAAGTGTTACACATTTGATGATCGGAAACGTGCTGTAGAGATTAAAGTACAATTTATGTCCTACTAACGATACTGTTTTTAGATACACAGCGATAGTTTGTAGTTTACATGTATATGTATATACGTACAAATACAAGTGTTACATTTATAATTACTATTCCCCACCTCCAGTTCACTCACGCGTTTGAAGATGAAACGTCACATGGAGCGCGTTGCGTTCTGGGAAACAGTATCCCATGCAGCGTCTTCAGATGCATACATCAAATTTCAGCCAATGTAGCAGGTAATCCGGGCATTCCATGCATACAGAAAATTCACATACTATTCACAGTATACACACAGCATACTGCAATATAGTATGGTAGTATGCCATTCCGAACAGCTTCTGTACTGGTTTCAGTGTACTTGAGTTATATTTAGCAGATTCTGGCGAATATAGTAGGTCATCCGGATATTACATGCATACAGAAAATGTGCATACTATGCACAGCATACATACTGGATACTGCAGAAATAGTAAGAGTAGTATGATAGTATGGCATTTCGAACACAGCCACTCTGATTACATAGAGCAGCAGCAGGAAGCGCCTGATGTTGTCATGGCAACCAGATACAAAGCACGCGAATTACGGCTGCGCTTTCTATTTTGCCACACTAAACTTAGCAATAAACAGGTTGAAAATAATACACAATAAACATGTCTGTCAAAAAGATCTCAAAGGAGACTTTCATTCCATATCAGCAGAATAGTGTGGTACAGAAAGTCTATGTCCATAAAACAGGTTCTGAATGAATTATGTTACTGATACCTAATGGTCAAAAGCAATAGCAAAAGTAATAGGTCAATATTATTAAATTGCACACAAAGAGTTTGAATATCTAGGCTGGCTTGTACACCATATTGCAAAGTATTGGGACACCCCCTTCTAATGAACAGGTTTGACTACTTTAGTAATTTCCATGAGTACAAATCTTAATGTTTAAGCATGTAATGATATTCTAGGAAATATGTTTGGTGCGGTAGGGGGCCCAACCTCATATTCTTTCATAGGGCCCAAAATTGCTAGCGGCGCCCCTACGTCCACCGTCACAGTTATTCTGGTCACTGATTTTTCGCTTCGCGTATAGCTTGAGTTCAGTGCAATATGTTGCTGCAGTGTGCCTCTGCGGCTTCCGTCAGCTGCGTTGCGTTGTCAACAGGATCAAAACACCAGCAGCAACAGCACACGGGAGCTTCACTTCTGGACTGTCCGCTGGCCATCAGCAGATACCTTACCTGTCCGGCTGCATTAACTCTGCCACGTCTTAGCAAACAGCCGGTAAATGGAACGCATGCAATGTTTTCATTTGGAGACACGACGTCCGTTTAAAAGCGCGAGAGCAGTAGATGCACTTCACCGGCAATTTAACTGACCGGAACTGACAGGGAATGCGGAGATGCGCCCAGCCATGCCCTGCGCTCGTCTTCCCCGTATTTATGCCGCGATATGTGCTGTTAGTTGAGAACTGCTTTATAGAGAATGGGATGAATTAGACACAAATGTGTTCATATGCAGCTTGTGGTATTATTATAGGCGGTTAAGAACCTCTTTTTCCCCATTAAAAGGACACCGGACAGCTCTTGTGCCCAGAGCCACTCCTGTCCCGTTAGATCGCCATCAAAAACATTCAGCACACTGTAGTGATGTGCTATCTGTCAGTGTTAATAAGAATTATATAATGTTCAGACTGTAATCATGGAGTCGGTGCGTCTTCACGCTAATTTATCGGGCTTTATAGTTGGCTTTTATAGACTAACGTTAATTTTCTGTTTTTGTGCCTTAGTTTATACAGCAGCAGCTGGTCCACGTTAGCACCTCATGCTAGTATATTATCCTGACATATTCACCAAACCTAGATAACATAACAAACAATCCGACCATTAACTAACACTATGAGCGATCACTATGAGAGAGTGAAGATTGAGCTCCAGCAGATGAAGGAGGTGGAGAACGAGGCCGCGGCCGACGAGGAGCAGCTGTCCCCGGCCACAGCCTCTTCAATCCCCGCTGACGTTTCATTTACGGCACGGAGAGACCTGTCCAGAAGTAGCGTTAACGGGAGAAGTCGGAGTAAAAGTAGGAGTAAAAGTAGGAGCAAAGCAGACGGCCACGAGAGACAGGTGAACGGTAAACAGCTTGCGGATCCGACAGCGCAGAAGTCAGACTCTTCACAAGGACAGAGCCGTGTGAGCAATGAGCCAAACCTTCACATTAAAGGAACTGCAAGGCTTTTAAAGAGTAAAACGGCGGCAAACGGTCACGTTGAGTCATGTCTGAGACATACAGATGGGAAATGTGAGCATCATGGCAAAGAGGACGGGAGAAAAGCGGTCAAAAAGAGGAGAGGTGTGACGGTGGACACATCCAAGGCAAAGACGTCTCTCGAGGCGCTGAAGATGAGCATCAGACAGCTGAAGTGGAAAGAGGTGAGAGAACCCCTGTTTCCTGACCATCACATAACCTTAGACTTTATCTATCTGTCATTCCGATAACGAGGACTACTAAGGTTGTAGCATGCCATACCTTGTTAGGCTATTATTGGATTTGGGTATTCTTAGTTAAAAGTATTGGAAATTAATACATTCTTAAAGGGTTAGTTCACCCAAAAATGAAAATTAGCCCATAAATTACTCACCCTCAGTGCATCCTAGGTGTATATGACTTTCTTCTTTCAGACGAATCCAGGCGGAGTTATGTTAAAAATTG